GGGTTGCTGCCCAGAAGCATTCTGGCTGTTGCCACATCTGGTATTGCTGGAAGAAGCCATGAATGCTGAGTTCTTTGGAAGAGAAACTGTTAAAGCTTAGAGGAAGGCTTTTAGAAGCGTCTTCCCACAGACAACGCCAAATGATGCGGCACGATCTGGGCACTCCTAGTTGACTGCTGACTGGCTCCTTGTTGGCAACAGACGGCGCCTGAGAAGATGAAGATGAAGGATTCCCAGGGATTTGCCCGGCGGGAATACTCCGAAGCTTAAGTTAGAACGCTGGGGAGGAAGGAAAGAGAATAAAAAGCTAAGAGTGTAGGTCGCGCTAGATCACTATGCTCGTAAGGTTAACTCATAAGTAAGATAATCCAAGTTCAGAATGAGTGAATGTGTCTCTCCCCTTCACCTAAAAGGCTTTTATAGGGGTGTTCTTATCAAATCAGGCGTAACCGCCACTGGGCTCTTGTTGCAGCCGTTACATACCAGGTCTGCGCAGGTGATCGTCACAATGTACTACCCGCTTGGCTGAGTGACACGTCTTTGAAGGGACAGGCATGCCACCATCTATCGAGAAACGTGGGGTAGACTGTGAAACGGGCAGGGACTGTGCCATCAGTCGAGAGATGTGGTGCAGTCTGACGAGTACAGTCCTGTCAGATAGAAGCTTCCTGAGGACGTAGCATTGCTTAGCCGCGAACTACTTTGTAGCGAGCTACCCTGTTGCTCAGCGAGCTACTTTGTAGCAAGCTCTCAGAAGTGCTTCGGGGTGACCCTTATCAAGGTTGGTCTTTGGGGCAGTTCTTCTACCCAGGTGCTGGAACGAGCTGGTTTCCGTAGCTCGCGAGCTGAAATAGTCTTGGAGTATTCCCTTCTCAGCAGCTCGGGGGACCTGGAGCTCACGTTGTAGCGAGCTCCCCCTATAGAGAACTATGACGTCGCGAGCTGTTCTACAGACTCATTACTTGGTCGCGATCAAGCCATGCTGCTGAGCTGTTGCTCGTGCTAAGTCAAGTCCACGTGTCATCATCTCAGCAGGTCGGGTCAAATCATCCTCCATCAGAAGACAAAAAGGAAAAACACCAAGTACCAACCTTCACAAATCCCCAATAGTACAGCTGTGCCTTACCTGGTACCTAGGAGAAACAGAGTAGCAGCTGCTCCTTGTAGGCTTCACATAATTGAACTCTGCTTGGATCAATCTTCAAGAGAACCAAAAAGGACCCCTTCAACCACTGAGCGCCAAGGTGAAGCCTTCTGTAGGACCCACAATTAGAAATCTCCAGTTGATTAGGGTTTTGGGGCAAAATTCCAAAAAACTGTTTGAAAGGTGAACAGAGAAAGAGAGAAGGGGCTTCTCCAAGCAACCACTACCAACTCCACTGAATATCTTCTTCAATCAATCATTGATTCAGTTCTCCATTCGCATTGTTTATGGGATTAAAAGAAAGAGAAAAAAAAGGAAAAGGGGCTTGCTCTAATACCAAAAAGAAAAACAGTCCCCAATAAAGTAATAAGAAGTTTGATTAAAAAGGTGAAGAAACAAAAAGAAGACAACAAGAAGAGGAGAGGAAGAGAATGATTGAGGAGAAGGGGGTGAAAGAGATGAGTTGTTCGTACTCTCTCTCCTTTCCTTTCCCTAATCTTTTTCATTAAAAGATTAATCACTAATAATCAGAAATTACAAGTAAGCCCTTAGTGGGGCAGCTAGCTAATTAAAACATAAGATGCTAATGCTAACAGGCCCATTAACAAAACAGAACACAAACAAAAAAATAAAAGCACAACTGTGGGCTATGGGCCATTCGGCCCATCTTCTCTACAAAAAGAAAAAATCACATACAAGAGAAATGGTTAACTCTACTAGTGCCAAGCCTGGAAGGAGGGTAGCGTCAGCCGACACTAAAACTTTTGCTAAACTCTCATGGTCATGGATCCTGCTTTAATCCAACCCCATATAGTTGGGAGTTGGGACAAGGCTTAGATGATGATGATGGTGTGGGAAAGAAGGTTCCAGCTGGCTCAGCTAGTAAAGAACTGCATGCTTTAGTAATAGATTACCATATACAAGGAGAAGAAAGAGAGGTTTTAGCTGAGGGTCTTGACACACGAGAAGAGAGACTTTAGTAATAGATTACCATATACAGTGTAAGTTGCAACTAGTCTTGGTCAAATACATTTGTTCAATCCAGGTATAGTTTTTTGTATTTCTTAAAATAATATAATGGTATCCTTCTTGGGATCTAGGGCTGTCAATGGGTCGGGTCTAGGTAGAACCAGTCTTGAACCGATTATTACTTGGGACAAAATCACAGACCCGGAACCATCCCAGTTAATAGTCGAGCCCAATTATAATGAAAACTATATTTCTTTATTTAAATACTCTCTTAAAATTTAAATTTTGATAATATAACCTTAATAAAAAGGGCAAATTTTTTATTCCCCCACCTCCCAAACACAATTCAAGGGGGTAGGTGGGTGATAAGTGGGGGGTTTTGTAAAATAAATGAATAAATAATTGTGAGGTGGGGTAGACTATAAGTTTCACTAATAAAAATGATAGAAAAATAATAAATTATTTATATGTTAATAAATTAAAAATTTTTAACTAATATTGTCTTATTTATTATCTATCAAATTTACCATTTAAAACATAAAATATGATAAAATTATAGGAAAATTAAGAAAATATTATATATATTTCATAAAATAATCAGTTCCAGGTCGGACCCAATTATTAGTTGAACCGGAACCGTTATAATCGGATCAGTCGGTTCAGGTCATTGGGTAGACCCAATCCATTGACAGCCCTATTGTGACCTCTCATTCCATCTACCCATCCATCCATCTCTGCATGTATGATCAGTAGCATAGCCAGGAATTTTTTCTAGTGGATTCAAACAATAACTAAAAGCTTCATAAATGTCAAAAAATATTTTTTTTTACATTTTCAACCACCCAAGTTGCAGCTCACATAAGCCTTTGTGCCCATTTGGGGCGACTTCTAGCATTGTATGAGTCAAGAAACCCAGAAAGTCATGAAACCCTAATCAGGCCTAAAAATCGACTTTTTGTTGAACCTATGACCTATCATAGGTAGCTTCTCGGAAGTGGCTCTATCAACGCAGCTCAGTCACTGCAGAAATCCTCTCAAATGGGTTTTTATATATGTAATCTAAAGGTCAATTAGTTTAAAGTCCAAATAAAATGCCTCAATTGACCCCACACTCTAATATTTTCATTTAATTTGACAGGGTCAATATGGGAAGGTGGGAAAAGCCTCAAATAATACATGAAATCCATGATTTTTTTTTAACATTAGTGGGGTAACCACTCAAATAAACATAGCTCCGCCCCTGTGTATGATGCATATGTGTGTCTCTACAAAGCAACAAGGGCTCAAGTCCTGTGTTTTGTCTTCTATATTGCTCTCACTCTTGTAATACCTTTCATTCTTTTGCCCTTTTCACTCAATTTTCCTAATTTTATCACCATAATTTTCTTCTACGTGCAATTGTGCACAAGTAATAAGTTCCTTGTTTTTCTTATTGCTATGTAGGAAGGGGCTATTAGACTGTAACCAACCATCTCAGAAGAAGGTTTTACCCATTGAGGTGTTAGAACATTTCCTTTCACAACAAAATGTCAGCGTCTAGGATTCAAACTAGCTACATGTTGCATATTTAGGCTTAGTCAAACACCATTTGTTGATTATTTCTTCTATATTTCTTGTTTGTACTTGCCGAATAACTGGCAATTTTGTATATATTATGACAATTTACTTGTCTTTCATCTGAAATTCATTGTAAGCACTTCTACTTTTCAGTTGAGATGCCTGCCGGTTGCCTTACTAAAATAGATAAGTAACAAATATATTGCAGATTTTTCTGTCAAAATCAATCTCCTAGGTGCCTGGGCAACTAGATTCTCCCTTGTTGCCTAGCCTCATTAATACACCTTGACAACTATGTAAATCATGATTTGAGATTATGAATACAAGCATGGACATGAATATGGGAAGCAGGGATATGACTCTCAATTTCCTAAAATCTTAAGACATGGATACAGGTATGTGTATCTCATGTAATATGCTTATATCATTCTTTTCGATATCTAGTTTTTGAAACTAAATGTCATATTGCCAAATTTAGTTAATTTTAAAACATTACAGATCTTTTATAGTATAATTTGTTAAAGCATTCCTCTTTACATATTTTAAAATTGTTAATGCTTTAGAGTGCATCTAGAAGTGTCCACACAGTATCCAGTATGTCTTCGACACAAGTATGCCAGGCATGCAGAGGCATCTAGATATTAGATTAAGGGTGAAACTTAGTTAATTTTAAAACATTACAGATCTTTTATAGTATAATTTGTTAAAGCATTCCTCTTTACATATTTTAAAATTGTTAATGCTTTAGAGTGCATCTAGAAGTGTCCACACAGTATCCAGTATGTCTTCGACACAAGTATGCCAGGCATGTAGAGGCATCTAGATATTAGATTAAGGGTGAAACTTATGTGGGTTGGATTGGACCTATAGTTAACCACAAGCAGGGGCTTAGCCATAAATAAATAAATAAATAGAGCATGCCACAACAATGACAGATAGATTGACTGTAAGAACTCCTTCCAAGTTTCCTAATTCATTTCATAGAGAAGATACATGAAAAAAAAGAAATTGTCTAAGAAGAGATGAAATCAGAAATCAGAAGTGATACTGTAAAATCATTCAATATATCTTTGTGTTTTCTTGATCTATTAACCACAGGCATGCCATCACATTTTTTATAATAAAACAGATTACAACAATACATATTTCAGAAGTAACATTGCTTTAAACCTTATGAAAACCACTTGTAGACAAATCCAAAGCTAGAATGCATTTTAATTTTTTCCACAAACCAGAATGGCAAGTCTATAAGTTATGCCTAATGACCGCATGGAAGCTGAAATTCTAAAAAGCTTAACAAATAGAATGTTATTAAATCTATTAATTTCACCTGCGAGGTATATTAAGATCTTGCCAGTGACCATGTTTCTTCATGATCTTAACCTTTGCAAGCTGTGCTATGTTCCTGTGTTGACACAACAGTTCCCAATTCATGACTCCATCACAATTTCATAGATTTTTTTTGAAGATAAAGAGAAAGAAATTTCATGACAATTTCATAGATTGCTTAAGGAAAATAACCCATTTCAGACATATCCAAGTAATTATTCTCATTACTAACAATTTCAAATTGAAGGTAAAAGGGAAGAGTTGAAGAAAAAAGGAGCACTGGATCCAATTCTATTCAGTTTTATACAGAAAAAGAGAAAGAAAGAAAAGCTGCTGTCTCTTAATGGTTGCCCATGACTGAAGATTAAGTAGTTTGCATTGCAGATATATTATCCTGAATCAATAAATAATTAAATATTTTTCAAGGTCTATTTTTCCTTGCATGCATATATTAGTTACAATAATCAATATAAATGTAAATACTTGTGATAGATTAACTATCACCACCATGCCTTTTCCAAGTTACGTAGTTTAGCAGGGGATAACTTTGGCTGTTGGGGGCCAACAGCCTATGCTGTTGAGAGCGTTTTTGTGCTGGACACGTTAACCCATTCATGCCCATGTCTATCGTTTTGGTCAAAAGAAATAGGGGGCAATTACTATTATACCCCGCTCTCATGGTAACGTGGCATTCCCAAGAATGTTCTCTACAGCATAGACTGTTGGCTCCCAACAGCCAAAGTCTTTCCATTTAGCAGCATAATGCCTATTCTCCCATTCTGATATAAAGTCATATATTCTGTTAAAAATTGGAAACAAATTTAAGTATTACAAATTTAGTTACCATGTGATAGTCTAATAATTATTTGTTGTGCACTAATAACTGTGTAAACTGTAAATATTTCAGCTTATGTAAAGAAAATGCTCCTTGTGCTAGTATAGTCTATTGCATATGAAAGGCACATTAGGTTGTGAAAGTTTGAAAAAAATTAAATATTCAAATGATAGATTTCCTAACTGACAATTCAGTATCCATGACTTGAGAAATGATTTAAACGCTTACAATTTAAAAGTGGATATGGCATTAAACAGAGTGAAATGGCAAAACAGGATTCACGCAGCCAACATATAGTTGTAATAAGGCTTGGATGATGATATTGGTGAAAGATTTCAAACACAAAACTGATGGAAATTCTTTTGAACTTCTGGCCAGCACTGTTATTTACATATAGAAACTTTCTTTCCTAGAATTTTATATCACTTTTTGCATCCCTCCATTTTCTGTTTTGTTTGGAATGTCTAAGGAAATTGAATACATTTGGTAAAGGTGATAAAAGTGCATTGGAAGAAGTCATGGGCATAACACTGGTTTCAACAGTGAAGCTATAGTGTGGTGGAAGGATGGTGATGATTGCTTTGGTCAACAAGAAGACAATACTTGAGTAATGAACATTGTTTTCCAATTTTGATGGATATTTCACTATAGGGAAGAAAATATATCAGGATTATACAGAGAAGTATCTAAAAATTGTTGTAGCAAAACTTCTAGATAATTTTGAAATGCTTATGACAACATTTTTATAGTAGATAATAAAACATATTAAAAGAAGAAAGACATAAGTAGTATACGAGCAAAGAGCCCAAGCAAAAGAAAGATAAAAAGGAGAAGCCAAGCAGGGAGTGACAAACTAAAAGGACTAACCTGCATATTAACTCCCTTTACGAAAGTTGGCTATACAAGAAGAGAACTCCCAAGAGACTTAACACCTTACCAAAAGCCCACCAACAGGGAGATAAAAAGTCCCTAAAACAAGGAGAACAGCAACCAAAACCATAAATCCCCAAAAGGAACCAATAGAAAAAATGATTCCTAACCCAACCTCAAACTCATCCTGCTGGAGACCTATTCAATCCCTAAAATTCAGCTCAATTTTTTCCCCTACCACCACCTTTACCTCTACCTCCACCAGTCCACCTTACTGCTGCTTGAAGAATTTTTCTTGTTCATCCTTTGACCTCTAAACTACCAAACCATGACTCATCATTCTCCATTCAAGTAATTCACAGACCTCCCTGTGGACCACCTCCCCCACCTTATCCTTCAGCATAGCCTCTGCATCTACAAAAGTCACCTTCCCCTTCTTGGGACAAGCTAATTGGGTAGTGGCCTGAAACAAGTCTCGATAAGGCTATGACTGCTAACCCCTCCATTCCATTTCCTAACCAGTAGTAAAAAGGAATCTGTCTAGTATACAGCAAATGGGGGACCTCTTGAAAATTTGACCAAGTAAAATTTTCTTGTAGAAGAGATAGGTTCCGCAACTCAAAGGTTTCCACAGAGAGATTAAACTTTCTCATACTAGAAGTAATCTTGTGGTCTTGGAGAACCGAGGGTTTCTCCATGAAAGGGAAAATCTTTCGGGAAGCAGTGCCTTGTGTGGTCTATTGGGTGTTGATGGAGAGAAAGAAATAGTCAGGTGTTTGACAATGGGGCCTCACAACTTAATGACATTGTTACGAGAGCTTAATGGACTTTAGTGAGGTGGCAGGCATATCTAAGTGTTTACTGAGATACCGATTGATAGGCTTAGGGCCAATTGGTCCAACACCATCTTTGATGATTACTAAATATGACTAGGCAGGATTGAGCTTTTTGTCTATATTGTATATGATCTTTTAGGAGCACTCGACTACTTTTACACTAATTTGCAAAGGATCTTCTCCTCCCTTATAGTAATATAATATTAACACTTCAATTTATCAAAAAAAATCAATTAGATTATCTGATTACATGTTTATAATCTTTGGGATAGCAGATTTACTGATTCTTTGATTCCAGTTGAAAGAATACTGAACTAAGAAATAGCTTTTTTGTCAAAGCCAGTTTGGGTATAAGAATATCTCAGTCCTAGTCATGTTTAAGCCTAGTCATTTATACCATCATTTATTTGTTTGTTACCAAGCTGACAAGAAAGTGTTCATGAAATCATTTCTAAGGAGGTGACTGGTAGGTGACAAGGTTACTTCCTCACAAAGAAAAGATTTTCTTTTTCGCTAAATAAAGAAGAGTTTCTTCCTTATGAAGCAACCCTTAACTTGTATATATCCATATATTGTTTTCTTTGACTAAGGATTTTCTCATCCCCTTAAAAGATCCATACTTTTTCCCTCCAAAATGATTCCTAAGATCCTCTTGTGAGGCAAGATTATCCCATTAAAAAATCTGATGCTTTTTACCGATTCTTTTGAACAAAGTTAACCAGTAACAAGCTAGGCAACTAAAATTTTATAACTAATTACCAAAACCCCTCAGAATATAAAATCTACATTTAGGTGAATAGATAAAGTGTGAAAATTAATGGCAAGAAAAAGTAAGAGTGATGATGTGTCCCTAAAACACCAACAATTATGTCAGCTACAACTAAAGTACCTACCGTGAAGAAGGATGAAAAAGGGAAGCACAAAACCATCCTTGTGTGCATCCAAGCTTTGCATAAGTGCTCTGATCAAAATGAAAATCATAAATAACATCTTTCTCCTATAAATATTTCAATGTAACACTGATGCAAAATGATAAAATGAATCCATTCATATAGACCAAAATTTTGTTGGCAAGAACCACAAAAAGAAAAGATAATGCATATCTCCATGAAGAACAATGAAAAACAGTGAAGAAGAAAACAATTTTGTATGGATCCATGCTTCAGATACTGATCAAATTATGAATAAAAAGTAGCACCTTTTTTGGTAAGGATAGTGATGGTGGATACTAGCAAGAGATACTCAGCTGATAACAGAAATGGCATCATGCACTTCAATAGACATGTTGCCAAAATCTTATGATGCACTTCAATAGAAAACCATGTATCGTCCAGAGTATATTTACAATAAGTACATTATTAACAGTCCATGATCATGCACAAACATGTAGAAGTACACATATTATGCATACTATGTATATACATGTACCAACTACGCATATATAATTATGTATTATATAATGACATTTGTATATAATTTTCTTTTATTTTGTTTGACCATTTCTAAATTGGACTATAAGGCTCCTTTGAAAGTTAGAAGCATAAAGCATGAGAAAAAAGACTTCTGAACCCGACCAACCCAGCCAAGCCCAACCAAGCGCACCCAAGCTTAGTCGGCTAGTCGGAGTTGTGATGGGTTTATCTCAGGTTAGGATTGGGTTGCCAAACTCAGGCTTTGACCTCAAGTACGATCGGGCAGACTTCAAATGTAGTTTGTAGAGAGAATGGGCCGAATGGCCCATAGGATGCTCTTATTTCTTTATGTTTCTATTCCTTTTTTGTTAATGGGCCTTTATGTTTCTTTATGCTTTTTGTTTAATCAAGTTAATTGCCCAATTAAGGGCCTCCTTGTGAATATAGAAAATTTGTAATTTTTAATGCAAAGATTAGGGAAGGGAGAGAAGTTTGAACAACTCATCTCCCAAAACCCTATTACAGCTGACTTTTCTTCTTCTTCTTCTTCTCTCTTTGCTGCTGATATCTACCTATTTTCACACCTTTTAAATCAGTCCTCCCATTCTTTTGGACTGTTTTTCTTCTTGGTATCAGAGCGGGCTCCTTTTTTCTTCTTTTTTCCCATACACTATGTGTATGGAGAGCTGAATCGAATGAGTGGTTGAAGAAAGTATTCAGCACGGTTGTCAGTGGTTTTGTGGAGAAAAGGATGCTGTCTTGGTCATTATTTTGACAGTCCTTGGAGTTTTTTGCCCAAAACCCTAATAAACTGGAGAATTCTAATTGCGGACCCTACAGGGAGCTTCACCTTGGCACTCGGTGACTGACGGGGTTCTTTTTCTTTATCTTGAAGACCGATCCAAGTCTTGTGCAGTTCTGTGAAGCCTACAGGGAGCAGCTTCTGTTTTCCTATTGCTCCCAGGTTCCAGGTGAAATGCAACTGTCAAATAAGACTTCATAGAGGTTGGTACTTGATGTCTACTTTTTCCTATCTTCCTTGTTTATCACTTGAAGTTGTTTGAAGTTCTTTTGGAGTTGTTTGAGGAAGATGGATGTCTCTGGAGTTGAAAATAAGTTTGCCGCTGAGTCCAAACAGGTTCCAAGAGCACCCATAGACTCTTTATTGGTTGTGACCACAGTCAAGCTCGATGGAACTAACTATCTAGCATGGTCACAATCAGTAAATATACATGTTTGTAGTAGAGGCAAGTGGGGGTATATCTCTGGGAGAAAGAAAGCACCACTGGAAGATGACCCATCTTATGAGAAATGGTTGCAAGAGAATTATACTGTTATTGGGTGGTTAGTAAATTCGATGCAACTACAGATTAGCCAACATTATTTATGGATGAATTCAGCCAAGGAAATATGGGATAGCGTTGCTGAAACTTATTCAAAAAACTAAATGTGGCCAGGGCGTATAATTTAAGGAGTGATGTGAATAATCTAAGGCAGGGAGAGAGAGCAGTATACTTCTCAATGCTGAAATCCTTGTGGCAAGAGATAGATCTAATGGAAACTATTGTTTGGGAAAGCACGAATGATACTGAGACATACAGGAAATTAGTTGAGAGGAATAGGGTCTTTGAACTCTTGACAGGGCTGAATCCAGAGTTTGACATTACCAGACAGAATATCCTAGCTAAGGATAATGTATCTTTGTCTCAAGCCTATGCCATGGCAAGTAGTGAAGAGAGCAGGAGGCTGGTCCAGGTTCAAGGTGTTAGAATGCTAGAGTGTGTTCGGCTTATAGGGTCTCCTATTAGCYCATTCTTATGTTAATTTTATCTTGTAACTGGGCCTTTGCTAATGGGCCTAATCCTGTTTATGTTTTAAGTATTCTGGTTGTCCCATTACTAATCAGGGGTRTACCAGTAATTTTATTGTACTTTGTACTTCACTTATATTTAAATAAAGGCCTGGTCGACTACTAACACAGTTCGACATTCTCCGCATCTAAGAAGTTCATCCTCTTCTTTACTACTTCGAGTTCAGCTTCTTAGTTTACACAAGGGACTATCTCAAGTGACCATTTTGCTAATATGAGGCTAAAACCTAAGGTGACTATAGGTAGTTCAGGTGGTTCAGGGAAGAAGGAGGTTATATGTGAGTACTGCAAGAAACCCAAACATACAAAAGATAAATATTGGAAACTGCTTCCAGAACTCCTTCCACCTTGTTTTCAAAAGAAGGGTGATAATGGAAAGTCAAGAAGTGCCAACATAGCTAGTCTTAGATAATGACAGGTGTTTCACAGATGAGAGGACTGCTAGTGAGCAGCTAGCAGTTATGAAGGCAGAGTATGAGAGAAGTCTGGGAGGATGATTTGTCACCTTGAGAGTGTAGCCTCCTCCAATTCTCTGGGCAATCCAACTACTTCTGCATTTGCACATTTAGGTATACGTGCTACCGCCAATTATGCAACTATCTTAGGTAATCGTAGGATCCCTTGGATTATTGATTCTAGTGCTTCTGATCATATGACCAGCCTTTCCACTTTGTTTATCTCTTATGATTTGCTTTCTAGCTATGATAACATTACCCTAGCTGATGGCTAACTTGCTCCTATCTTTGGCAAGGGAGTCATCAAGGCTACAGACTCACTTTCTCTTTCTTCTGTCCTTCATGTCCCTAGACTGAATGTTAATTTATTGTCTGTGAGTAGCCTAACTAAATCCTTAAACTGTAGTGTAACCTTCTTCCCTTCTTATTGTGTTTTACAAGATCTGAAGTCTCAAAGTGATTGGGAGTGGCTATGAAGCGAATGGAATATATATGTTGGATACTCCTGGACAAAGCCAAGGATAACCTGGAAGAGCTGCTTTTGGATGTATTCCTTCCGAGTCTTTTAGTCGTGTCATGTTATGTCATTTTCGTTTGGCTCATTTATCTTTTCCTACTTTGAGTCATTTATTCCCAAAATTGATTAAGAGAATTAACTTGTCTAGCCTTCACTGTGAGTCCTGTGAGTTATCAAAGCATTATAGAAACAGTTATCCTTTGAGTAATAAAAGATCCTCCTTTCCTTTTCATATTGTGCACTCTGATGTATGAGGGCCATACCACTTACCCTCTATGGGAGGTTATAGATACTTTATCTTGTTCAATGACGATTTCTCTAGATATACTTGGTTATTTTTTATGAGATCTCGAGATGAAGTTCCCAAACTTGTGAAGCAGTTTCACAAATTTGTTCTTACCCAGTTTGATACAAGAATCAAAATATTTAGATCCGATAATACAAAAGAATACTTTGAAAAAAACCTAACCTCTTATCTCATTGATTTTGGGGTCATTCACGAGTTCTTGTGTTTGTACTCCGGAATAAAATGGAGTAGCTGAGAGGAAGAACCGCCACATAGTTGAAGTTGCAAGAAGCATTTTGTTTGCGTCACATGTCCTTACAAGGTTTTGGAGGAATATTATTTTCACTGCAACCTACCTAATCAACTGAATACCATCCAGAGTGTTGGGCTTTAAGTCCCCTTTTAACCTCCTTTATCCAGATAAGGACCTTTTTTCTATTCCCCTTCGTGTCTTTGGCTGCACTTGTTATGTAAACATTTCTAGTACCCAGAGATAAATTTGAACCAAAGGGGTTATGCTATGCCTTCAAACAGAAGGGTTATTGCTGCATTGATCCTAGCACTAGGATTCGTTATGTTTCAATGGATGTTACCTTTGATGAGTCCACTCCTTTCTATGAATCATCTTGGGGGGAGCATTGTTCATAGGGGGAGCATTTGTCACAGTTATTTGCACTCCCCCTTCTTGTCCCTGTTGAGTCTCCTTCTATTCTTTGATGAGTCAAGGGGGGAACAATAGGGGTGGATTCGAGCCAAACCGAGCCGAATAGTACGAGGCTCGAGCTCGGCTCGAGACTATTCTATAAGGCTCGAGCTCGGTTCGAGCCAAAACCTTGAGCTCAAGGTTGGCTCGAGTAAAAAATTCATAAGCTCGAGCTCAATTTTGAGAAAAAATATTTTATAAAAATATTTTTTATTTGATATTTAAAAAATTAAGAATTATAATAATTAATAATTATAATATTTTTATTATATATATATATATTCGAGCCGGCTTGCAAGCCTCACGAGCCGAGCTCGAGTAGCTCGTGAAAAGCTCAGCTCATTGCCACCCCTAGGGAACAATCATCTCATGCTCCATTTCCTCCTCATCCTCTTTTTAATCCTAGGTGGTACCAGGAGTGAGCAGATTGTTTCCTCTACATAACATGAGCCTCATGCACTTCAGGTACTAAAGAGACAATAGGTACTGATACCGTCCCTTTGCAGCCTCCTTTCCCAGATCTTGATGTCCCTATTTCTATTAGGAAAGGTAAACGGAAGTGTACTGCAGATTGCATTTCCAAACATCTTTCCTATGGCCTTCTTTCTCCCTCATATTATGCCTTTCTTTCTTCTGTTGCTTCTAACCCTATACCTAGGTCTGTATCAGAAGCTCTTACTATTCCAGAATGGAGGGATGCTATGAGAACTGAAATAGATGCTCCGCACAAGAATGGCACATGGGAAGTGGTTGATTTGCCTGAAGGGAAGGAGCCAGTTGGTTGTAAGTGGGTGTATACCATTAAATATCATGTTGATGGCTCTATTGAGAGGTGCAAAGCTTGGTTGGTTGCAAAAGGCTACACACAAAATTATGGGATTGACTATCTGGAGACTTTTGCTCCTGTTGCAAAGATGACATTTGTGTGGGTTTTGCCATCTTTGGCAGCTCATTCAAACTGGGCTCTTTATCAGCTAGATGTGAAAAATGCATTCTTGAATGGAGAATTACATGAGGAAGTTTATATGTCTCTCCCACCAGGGATGTATGGCACAGACATGGAGGGAAAAGTGTGCAAGTTGAAGAAGTCTCTCTATGGACTCAAACAGTCGCACTGGGCGTGGTTTGAAAGGTTTAAGGCTGCACTTGGTAACTTTGGTTACGTACAGACTCAGTCTAATCATACTCTCTTTGTGAAGAGGAGAGGTTCATTGGTGGTATATCTCATAGTCTATGTTGATGATATTGTAGTGACTAGCACTAATGTGATAGGAATTGATGATCTTAAATCTTTCCTTCATCCAGAGTTTGAGATCAAAGATCTGGGGGAGTTGAGGTATTTCCTTGGAATTGAAGTGGTTCGGACGAAGTATGGAATCTTTATCTCTCAGCGTAAGTATGTGCTAGACTTGTTCATTGAAACAAACAAAATGGGTGCAAGACCAGTGACTACTCCTATTGATATGAGTCACAAACTTTCTACCTCTAATGGAGAATTGTTGAAGGATAAGGGAGTGTTTCAAATGTTACTAGGGAAACTGCTATATCTTTGTATGACTCGGCTTGACATTGCATATGTTGTTAGGTGCATTAGCCAGTTCATGCATGCTCCCAGAGACACTCATATGGTAGCAGTAGAACGAATTTTATGTTATTTGAAGAGTACTCCTGGGAAGGGCATTCTTTTTGGTAAGCATGGTCACATGAAAGTGGAGGCTTACACAGATGTTGACTGGGCAGGAAACATTGATGATAGGAGGTCAATTTCGTGATACTTTAGCATGGTGGTAGGTAATATTGTTTCTTGGAGAAGTAAGAAGCAATCTGTTGTTGCTAGATCTTCAACTGAGGCCGAGTACAAGGCTATGGCTTATGAAGTTTCTGAGTTACTTTGGCTTCGATCCCTGATGAAGGAACTAGGTGTTGAGTATGATAAGCCATTGATGCTATATTGTGATAATCAGGCCGCCATCAACATTGCCCACAATCCGGTGCAACATGATAGGACTAAACATATTGAAGTTGACAAGCATTTTATCAGAGAAAGAGTGACTTTTGAAGAAGTTTGTCTACCATTCATTACATCTGAAGAAGAGTTAGCTGACATTCTTACCAAGGGAATCTCCAAGGCCAAACTACAACATGACACTGGCAAGCTGAGCATGATTGACATCTATGTTCAACTTGAGGGGGAGTGTAGAGAGAATGGGCCGAATGCCCATTAGGATGCTCTTATTTCTTTATGTTTCTATTCCTTTTTTTGTTAATGGGCCTTTATGTTTCTTTATGTTTTTTGTTTAATTAAGTTAATCGCCTAATTAAGGGCCTCCTTGTAAATACAGAAAATTTGTAAATTTTTAATGAAAATATTAGGGAAGGGAGACAAGTTTGAACAACTCATCTCCCAAAACCCTATCACAGCCGACTTCTTCTTCTTCTTCTCTCTTTGCTTCTGATATCTACCTTTTTTCACACTTTTTAAATCAGTCCTCTCATTCTTTTGGATTGTTTTTCTTCTTAGTTCCAGGATGGGCAGACTTCAAGCCTTCTATTCCTTTATTTAATTTGACATAAACAATTTAAGTAATAAATGTTGAAAAGAGGAAGAATTTTTCCCAGATCAGCAAAATGAATTACCATATTTGGAATTTTGGACATGTAATAAGGTAGAGCAATGATTGCAACAAAAAGCACCAAATACCCACAATTTAAGACAGATGCATAAGAAGCTCCTTCCTGATAAGAAATGAAGGAGACCCACTAGGGGGACTGTAACACAACAAAGCATAAAATGTTCTCTACTTTAAACATTTTGCACCAGTTTTCATCACCACCTATACATGTTCCTCATACACTCTTCACTCATGTAGGAGTGAAGCAAGGTGCAAAGAACTTTTAGATGCATGAAGCATAATCCATGAAACATGAGGCCAGCTCATGCTAACCTAAAACAAAATTCCAGACTATAGTTCAACAATCATTTGCATAAATTAAATCACTAATATTTCTGGACTTGCAAATCTAAATAAAACAGCATATTGCCCTATTTACTATGTAGAAATATTACTAAAATCATGGTAAATGTTGATCAAACATTCTGAATTGAATATAAAACTAAGTTTTACCTGATTAACTAGCTGATTTTTAAATTTTTCTGGATGCAACTTCCGCTCAGAATGAAATGCATACGATACTTGGGCATCCATTCCTGTGAAAGAGTAACAGAAACTTTCTTATCTCATAAGCTACCTAAGACAGTTACTAATCAAATTGAGTTACAACTCCATAACAGAAGTCTACCATATACTCATGATTGTTTGATAAATAAAAATCAAGCATGCAAAATCAGAAGGCTAAACGAATGGGAGGGACTATTTGCCCCCCCCCCTCCCCCACCCTCTCATGCTATACAAAATGAGCTCATAATTTAAGAATGGAAAAGGCATTAAACAGAATGGAATGACAGAACAGGATTCATGTAGCCGATCCCATATAGTTTGGATACTTTATAGTTAAGGAACAACCATGTCTGCAAACATGATCCCAGATTCATAAATTCATTTTATATAATTAGCATAGATCTTATCTATATATCTGAATTCCCCTGTTATAATTTAGGTAAGCATATTTGGATATTATGCATTTTTTTATTGATTGGGATAAATTTGCAATGGGGAGAGTAACACAATGTCAATTTTGAAACAAGTAGATCACCCCATAACTTGATCGTTTCCTAAGAAAAGAGTCTGTACAAACTGACAACCAGAGGATAGACACTAAAAACAAACTTGAAAACTTATTAGAAAGAAAATTTGAACCAGCTTCTCTGTATCTCAAGGAATCTGAAAGAATGACTGATCTCACCCAAACAGGGTATTGCTTCTTTTACCCACCAGATTCCCATTGATAAATATTAGACAAATTTATCTGCAAAAATAGCTCTAACCTTTACTGCAGGAATGAGCACATAGAAGTGGAACACTTCAAGAGGAAAAGATAGTGCTTAAAGATATACCCCATTTCTTGGAGAAAGCCCCAAAAGTGTATCACATAATTCCTTTTCCTGTTCTCATCTCATGTTCTCTCTAGAAAATGTGAGATTTTCATTGTTGGTGTATTGGAGTATGACCTATCTAACATCATAACACCTTTTCACAAGATATCATAATCCTTACTGAGTTATGAATCCTATTCACCCCTCCTAACCAATGAGTGACTTAACACAGTTAATCAATATTGGATCCACAAGAGGAGTTATGAATCCTATTCACCTCTCCTAATCAATGAGTACATTTAGACGGTTAATCAATATTGGATCCACAAGGGGAGATATTTAGCCCAAATGTTGAGGCATGACCTGCCATCGATCTCTTTACCCAAAATTCAGGAATTTCCTTCACTATCTCAAAAGCAACCCCAATACAGGATTAACCATGGATCAAGGTTCAAAGTATTGATACAATACGAGTTTCGGCCGTATCGTATCGGCACTTAGAAACGGCCGAAACTCTATTTTCTTTTTAGTTTTTTTTTTCAAATTTTGGTTTTTTGGAAAGCTTTTAGCATGCTTTTTATTATTAAAAAAATTGGGGGTCTGAAACCCTGGAAACAGGCGTTTCAGACCGTATTGTTTTCAAAAGATACGATACGATACGCCCAATACAGGGTGTATCGTATCGATACTTTGAACCATGGCATGGATTACAAGTGAGCACTTGCCAAAACCTTCTTTAATAATGTTCACATGTGATGATTTCCAATTGCTTGCCACCTCCAAAATGAATTGTGGGGTTTCCACCATATCAGTCCTTAATATGGGTCAATCCAAGGTTCAAAGTATCGATATGATACAAGTTTCGGCTGTATCATATCGGCACTTAGAAACGGCCAAAACTCTATTTTTTTTTAGTTTTTTTTTTCAAATTTTGGTTTTTTGAAAAGCTTTTAGCATGCTTTTATTATTAAAAAAATTGGGGAACAGGTGTTTCAGACCGTATTGTTTTCAAAAGATACGATACGATACGCCCAATACAGGGTGTATCGTATCGATACTTTGAACCATGGCATSGATTACAAGTGAGCAYTTGCCAARACCTTCTTTAATRATGTTCACATGYGATGATTTCCAATTGCTTGCCACCTCCAAAATGAATTGTGGGGTTTCCACCATATCAGTCCTTAATATGGGTCAATCCAAGGTTCAAAGTATCGATACGATACGAGTTTCAACCGTATCATATCGGCACTTAGAAACGGCCGAAACTCTATTTTTTTTTAGTTTTTTTTTTCAAATTTTGGTTTTTTGAAAAGCTTTTAGCATGCTTTTTATTATTAAAAAAATTGGGGGTCTGAAACACCTGGAAACAGGTGTTTCATACCGTATTGTTTTCAAAAGATACGATACGATACGCCCGATACAAGGCGTATCGTATCGATACTTTGAACCATGGCATSGATTACAAGTGAGCAYTTGCCAARACCTTCTTTAATRATGTTCACATGYGATGATTTCCAATTGCTTGCCACCTCCAAAATGAATTGTGGGGTTTCCACCATATCAGTCCTTAATATGGGTCAATCCAAGGTTCAAAGTATCGATACRATACGAGTTTCAGCCGTATCATATCGGCACTTAGAAACGACCGAAACTCTATTTTTTTTTAGTTTTTTTTTCAAATTTTGGTTTCTTGGAAAGCTTTTAGCATGCTTTTTATTATTAAAAAAATTGGGGGTCCGAAACACCTGGAAACAGGCATTTCGGACCATATCATTTTCCAAAGATACGATACGCCCAATACGGGGCGTATCGTATTGGTACTTTGAACCATGGGTCAATCTAAACATCCCCCCAAAGAGTTAGGTTACAGACACCCAATCTGCTACTCTAAATTTTTTTAGGCAAAAGGTGTATTGGATAAGGTGGAGTTTGTCTAAGCATTTCCACATCATCTTCCCCTTCCTACCAAAAGGGTGTAACGTGTAACCTGCCATGAACTCATGTCTTGCAAGTTGCAAGTCTCTGTGGTGGAAAAAAATGCTACTCCAAGAAGCTGCAAAAGGATCCATATGGTATAGGCAGCATAGTAATGCCATACATATACATAACATATTGTATATGTATAGGTACTACTAGTCAGGTCATTTGGTGGAATAGTTTGCAATGTGGCAATTTGATTGGGGCAACACATTTTCCTCTGCCATTCCAGCTTAAAACATCTTGCAACATGACTAAAATAAGCCCTTAGGGAAGCATTTTCAAAGTAAAATATCGAAACCTAGGATGGCACATATAACTATGAGGAAGCCCCAAACAAGGTGACATATAGTGTTGATGAGGACTCCAAGGAGCTTCCTATTGGCCTATCCAATGGATGATTTGGATAAATCATCCTCCAATATGCAGAAATAGGTTGGATTGTCTGTTAAGCTTTCTGGATTAACCCAATCAGGAAATACACTTATATAGTAATATACATGTAATATGTAATCTATAAATACACGAATATGTATAGGAGCAGATCTAACATCACAGCAGTAAGCACCACAGAGGACTTAAATCATAGATGGATAAAACATAACACCCCAGCCCAAATCTTGCATGCAACCTATCAGCCAAAATCCATGAATATCGCATGGCCATTGGATCCCCAAATGCTGAAATAGAGGAAGTTGTCACAAAGTGAAAGAAAAGAAAAGTACCAGACAACCCCAAAAAGCAAACCCTTCATTATAAATAAATGATGATTTAAACCATTGCAAGAGATGCTATGAAACCTCATTTACACTATCCCCTCTGAGACCCCTTTGAAGGACCAAACCATATTTGATTTACAAAATATATGCTTAGATTTGACAAAAACTCTTCTGATTTATAATGCACCTTAAGCACCACATTACTTTTCCTGATTTTTTTTTCTGCAACCACTATATAGGATCGGCTACATGAATCCTATTTTGCCAATCCTTTTCAGTAAATATTCTCCACCAGTTAATTTTCTTGGAAGATGAATTAATCCAATATACTTTGATTGATCTTAGCAACGGTGAAGTTGGATCAACAATTGGAAAGCACAAGGCCATCATAATGCTTCCCTGACATTGTAATTACTGTCTATCGCACCACCTACAGTATAACAAATTGACAACCAAGACATGTAGCTCAAACTTCCTGTGAATGATTACATTCAACCAACTGTTTGTAACTTGTCTGACCTCCTTCCATGCAGCAAGTCATTAATAAAACATTATATTTTATTAGCAAGACCTGTATATTACATTACTATGATCCCATACGCAAATTCTGAACAACCAAATAGTCCTAATTTCATCATATCCTAGTTAAAAGTTGAGATTCATACCTAGTTTCTATTATGATTTGAGCACTCTAACAAGTTAAACATAGATTTCATGTTTACTCACCAGTTCTTATTTTTCTTAACACAAATTAACAACAATAGAAAAATAAATGGAACTTGCTGATTGTGAATTTCCAATTATTTCCCGAGAGAAAAGAAACATTCCTTAATCAAAACAGTATAACTTCAACATGAATTTTTATGCAAATCATACCCATGCTAAAGTAGTTCCAAAATCCTCCACGAAATGTGTGGTAGCCTTCCTGAGGAGCAGTCAACAACAAACACTGTTTGTAAGCAAGTAATGTTCACAGTTCACTTGTGACAGGATTTTTACTGAAGCTAAGTCAAGCAAGATAAAGAAATTGATACAAGTAGTCAGTGAGCTCAGGAAAGTTTTTTCTCAACTTTTTTTTATCAATTTTTCCCAACCTTTTTGACTCCAGAGTCCAGACCCAGTGGTTAATTAGAACATCAGGTTATTTTCTATGCCATTTTTGGAGAAAAGACTACTACATGTTGAATTAGAACACATCAGCAAAGCGTATAAGTCATGATTTGAACATTCACTCTTGATTATAAAAAAAAAAAAATGAATTAATCAATAAAACTTTGAGAGTTTTGTAAATTTTGCATGAACATTTAAGAGGCATACCTAGGCTCACAGACAAGGCATATTTGAAGGTGGGTGCCTCACTTGAATGCTAACAATACCCCTTTTAAAAGGTACATGCCTGGAGTGCCTTGAATCTTGGCCCAAGCATACACCACTTATGACTTAAATTTTCTGGTTAATTCTTTATACATTCTTATGTGTTTTTCTTTACACCTTTTAATGGTCTATTAATTTCTAAATTACCTTTTATTGGGATGAGTGTGTGTGTGTGCACTAGTAATGGTTTATTAACTAAAAACAAAGACCTTTTGAATACCTGAAGCCCTAGTCATTGTGAATAGGATTTTGGACGGCAAAGTCTCCAGTGAAACAAGGAAATATAATTGATCTCTAATCCCTAATGCTAAAAAGTAATGAATTGCAACCAGAATCACAAAACTAAGTCGTGTACTATCTTAAGAGTCCATCCCTGATAGTGCTATACAGAATTTCTGTTCGCCAGAAGTTAACAAGAAAATACAATGCCCCCATCAAAATATGTATAAACCTCTATGCCCTTGAATTCCTTGTGAACTGATAACCAAAAGCAGAAATTTCCTTTGATTTTACCCATCATATCTTGATCACTACGGCAGATATTATCAAATATCTGAGCATTTGTCTCCCCCCAACACACCATAAGACAGCCATGGGAAGCATCCCCCACACCATTCTTCCCCTTAGCAACTTGTCATAGGTCAGCATTTTCCCAGAGCTGCAGTCCAAACAAAGAACTCGATTTTTGATGAAGCAGAAGAATGCCACATTCTGCTGGCAGGGAAATCATACAGAGGACTATGGTTTAAAATTCTGTAAAAGACTTACAGAGAACAAAAACTTTCCTCCCACATCCATCTCCTACAATCTGACTGTCCCACCTAAGGACTATGCTGCTGAATCCTCTGAAGCAGCTCCACCATTAGGTCCACCTCCCAATCATTCAAATTTCTTCTCAGAACAGAATTCCAAGTAACAATTCCATTTGATATGAAATAGAAGTCCTTGACCAGAGCCTCTCTGTTATGAACAGCCATGAATAAAGATGGGAAAGCTTTTGCCAAAGCTAGCTGTCTACACCACTTAATAGTACAAATATGTTCTCATGTCACTACTAAAATGATCAAGTATCTATTCTAGCAAAAGAATGGTGAAAATGCCAAAAAGATAATAGCAAGAAAAGTATGAGCTTCACGAATGATTACAACACAGCACCATTTACCCTTACAAAAAGTAACAAGATTGCAACACCGGCATTCTTCCCAACTGAGAAGAATGTCCAACATAGATTCTATAATCCTGTACAGATTTAAGAAGAATTTGGAGAAAAAAAGTTGTGAGGCTGGAAGCACCAACCTCTTTATTTATATTAGGATGACATATTTGTGGCAATAATAACAGATCAAAAGACAAAAGTGCCCCATAGACATGTCACAAAAAATTCAATCGATTTCTTCCCTACATTTTGTAACGTTTTTGCTCAATACATCTACAGACGTCCCCCTCCCCCCCAAAAAAAAAAATAAATAAATAAAATAAAAGAAAAAAGAAAAAAGAAAAAGAAAAAGAAATATTCCTGTTTTTGACACTATTGGGTTGGCTGTGTGGAATGGTCAAGTTTGAGGATTTACTTCCCATGTTTTGTTAATTATATTATGCTTAGATTATACAACTTAGGAAATAAAACTAAAATAAACTATAAAATGACATCTTATGCATACAGATACACATATAACATACACAATGTGTCCAAGTGGGCTTCATCTAATGTCATTATATAGTGCAGTTATGTATATTTCATATATATGCATATGCATGCATAACATAATCTTGACTGACAACTAGGGTTCATACAGGTGAAGAGAAACGGCTTGTGGGGTATGCCTAATGTCCCACACACCCAAACAAGTTATGTTATAAACTAATGAAATACAATAGGTGAGAAAGGACCATCGTGCCCTTCTCTAGTTCAAGAAAGAATAAAGAAATATAAAGTGATATGGTACATATGATACACAATAAAAAGATACTCCCAAACATGAGAATCAAGAGATCAGCCCTTCTCACAACACCCCCTTCAAACTGATGCCAAGAAAGAAGCATCAGTTTGTCAGCCAGAAATTTGTGTCGAGGACAAGTCATAGCTTTGGTGAAGAAGTCTGCAAGTTGAAGTCCAAAAGAGATATGAGGAAGGGAAATGTGGCTAGCAAGAAACTGATCTCGAATAAAATGGCAATCGACCTCAATGTGCTTTGTACATTCATGGAACACAAGGTTTGAGGCAACCTTGATTGCACTGGCATTACCAACATGGATAGAACTGGATGAGAGGCTGGAATATGTAGGTCCTGAAGAAGAGCTTTCAACCATACAATCTCACTACAAACAGATGACATAGCACGATATTCAACTTCAATGAAGGATTTAGATACTGCTGGTTGCTTCTTGCACTTACAGGAAATAAAAGAATCACCCAAGAAAACACATCATCCTATTGTAGACCTTCAGGTGTTTGGGCACCTTGCCCAATCAACATTAGCATAAGCAAACAAATCCAAAGAAGATGATGATGAGAAAAACAAGCCATGAGACAATGTACCACGAAGGTATCTAATAATCCAAATGACAAAAGACATATGTGGTTGTTGAGGAATTGAGACAAAATGGCTAACCACTTGGACAGCATAGGAGATATCAAGACGAGTCATGGTGAGATAGATGAGGCTACCTACAAGTTGTCGATATAATGTAGCATTAGTAAGAGGTTCATCATCATCTTTAGAAAGCTTCAAATTGATCTCAAGAGATGTGTCAACCTGCTTATCATCTGTAAGATGAGCCAATGTGACCAAATCCATAGCATACTTCTGCTAGTTGAGAAGACCAAGATCCTTCATCTTAAAGGTCTTACTAAGAAGACCCTTCACATGTGTAATACCCTCAAGATCATCTCCAGTAATAAGGATGTCATCCACATATAAAAGTAAAAAAGTAATACCTTGTGGCCAAGTGAGGATAAAGAGTAAATAATCTTAAGGACTCCAAATAAAGCCGACATCTATAATAACAAAACGAAATCTCTCAAACCAAGCTCTAGGAGCTTGTTTGATTCGACAGAGAGACCTATTCAGATGACAAACCATGGAAGGATCATCACAATATCCTAGAGGGTGTTTTATAAACACTATCTCCTTCAAATGTCCATTTAGAAAAGCATTCTTGACATCTATCTGATGGATAACCCATTGTTTGACAGCAGAGATGGAAAGCACAAAATCAATGCCATACAAGTCTTGTACTTATCAAGGCTGGCAATATAACCTTGTACCACCAAACAAGCCTTGTACCTATCAAAGCTGCCCTCAAAATTCACTTTTATAGAGTAGACCCATTGACCATAGTTTCCACGGCACCAAGGTGAGGCTAGGTGACAGGGGGCGCCTAGTCACCTAGGCATCACCTAGGCAATGGATTTTTTATGTTAAAAACATAGATCCTAGGGTAGTTCCCTAGGTACCATAACCATATTTCCTTAATATTAGTCATAATTTTCATAAGAAAAGTATAAGTTCATATAGGGGCTGAACCCTTATTTTTGTATAGAAAATCAACATATTTATGAGAAGAAAAAGAAGGAAAATAAAATTCAAAAAATATAGGGGATGAACCCTTAGTAGTAGTAGTAGTAGTAGTAGAAGGAGAATAAGAAGAAGAATATATGGAAGAAGAAAATGTGTTGATTAGATAAAATTTTAAGTTCTTCCTTATTGGTTCAGGTTTCGAAGTCTTTGAGGGTTCAATACAGGATGTAGCAATGTTTGTGTTGATTAAACCCTAATAAATAAGAATATAAGAAAAAGAAATTAGTATATAAACACACAAAATGATTATTTTAGTTTAATAATGTCTATTTTATAATTATAATATCAAAACAAAGAATGAACAAAAAAGTATTTTATAGTAGGAAGTAAGAAACTGCTTGGCGATTAGGTGAGGCGAGCCTCAAAGGGTGCCTTGACAACTATGCCATCGACTGCCAATGATAAAAGCATCAAGAGGAGCAAGAACCAAGTCCCAAGTATCATTTTCTAGGAGAACCCGGCTGAGTGTCTATTTTATGTTAAAAATAATAGAAATGGTGACTCAGTTGGTGTCACTTTTAATGAAAAGGAAAACATAATGGATTTAGGCACTTTATATGGTTCTTAAAAGTGCACAAGGCATTTTGTACAAACTTTTTTTTGATAGATGCATTTTGCACAAACATAATACCAAATATATGTACCAATAGATAGAAAAACTCAGAACTGGTGTAATCAATAGTACAAAATCAAAACTCAGATGAAAAGAATTAAATAGGCATTTGGAAACAAATAACATTGAGAAATAAAAAGAATAAAGAATTAGTATTGCTCTAAGAAGTGTTGCAGTCATAGAATATCTCTCCTCATTTAGTGGCAAAAGGTATATTCTTTAGCAAGTTACATAATACAATGGAGGGCTGCTTACCATGTTCAGCGAGTCTGTTTGAGAGACACGATGAAATGCATGCAATGAATGTGGTAATTCCAAAGGTGGAATGGGATCACAGGCACCTTCTTTAGGGGCTCTCATCCTCATGATAATATGCCAGCTGGAATACTTTAGTAATGTTAGTAAATTGAATTACTAAGAATATAGAAAAATGGTACAAGAGTATAGTCGTAGAATGGTTCAAGAATATTTTCATGTGATACAAAGTTTTAAATGGATCAGATTCAGGATATGAAGCTCCAATAAGAAGAAAAAAGAGAAACAATAGTACTGGGAAATATCTGGAAATGAAAGAAACATGTATACAGAATCATAGTCCATGCAATTACATGTATTCTATAGGAAAACTTTCAGTATTGAGAGATAAAATAAAGCTGTAACAGTTTGGATAAATTATTTTTTACATCCATTAATGTAATAAAAAGTCATATAAACAGAAAGAAAGTAGGAAATAATTGAATTTCCCAGAGAAACTAAAAGATATATTGTGCTCACAAGCACGAAAGAATAATTCACAATGAAATCGAGCAAAACTGTAACTAAAATCAGCATATTTATCCACTACACTGCAAAGGCATGATCTCACCTATCAGAATAACAATACTTGGTACCATTTCCTAAAAGTCAAAACATTGCAGTCTAGCCTTTCTAATCTTCACAAATCCATGTTAATAGCAACCCTGAAGATAGTATACAAATTAACCTCCAAGAAGGGCACAACCAGCTCTATATAGTAAAAACTGTACAACTAGAACCCTAAATCCAAAAAACAGACAAAGAACAGAAAAACAATCATCTTGCACTCCAAACAAGTTGTGTCCTGAAAGGATTGAAATTATCAGGATATCTTGGAAAGCTCTCTGCACTGAGACCAAAGACACAATCCTATCGAACTGTTCTTGATAAATAGCATTCCTTACAAACTGTTGTCCAAGGTGTTGTCTAGGAGGTTAAAGGGAATAAATCATGGGGTAGTAGGAGAAACCCAAATGGCCTTCATGGAAGGCAGGCAAATTTTGGATGGGATCTTGGTGGCTAGTGAATGTATTGATTCCAGGTTAAGAAGCAATTGACCGAGGCTGGTTTGCAAAATTGACATCGAGAAAGCGTACGATCATGTGGAGTGGGGTTCTCTTGGAAGAAATGTAAAGATTAATGGGGTCTGGGGAGAAGTGGAGAAGTTGGATGTTTGCATGTGTTTCATGTCTCCTTCTCCTTACTTATTAATCGAGTTTCTTCTGAATTCTTCCATGCCCCTAGGGGTCTCTGACAAGGGGACCCAATATCACCATTTCTGTTTGTACTAGTAATGGAAGTGCCAAACTTGCTCATGGTTAAGGTCTCACAGCAGGGCCAGATTGAAGGTTTCAAAGTGGGGGTGGAGGGTCCTAACATTTCACACCTCCAGTATGCGGATGACACACTATTTTTCTTGGATGCTTCAGTGGATCAGGTGCTGAATCTTAGAGTCATTTTGGCAAATTTTGAGATGCTCACAGGTTTGAAGGTAAATCTGGCCAAGAGTTTGCTGATTGGGGTGGGGGAAATAAAGAGGGAGGAGATGGATCAGTTTGCTACAGTCTAGGGATGCCAAGTCGGGGAGTTGCCTTTCCTTTACTTGGGTTTTCCAGTAGGGCCAAAAGTCTCCGCAACAGAGGCCTGGAGATCAATAATTGAGGGTGGAGAAGAGATTGGAGGGTTGGAAAGCAACATATCTCTCTCTGGGTGGCAGAATTACACTAGTTAGAAGTGTGCTAACTAGTTTACTGACTTATTATCTATCTTTTCTGGAGATTACAGGAAAGATTGCGAAAAGAATCAAGAAACTTCAGAGGGATATTTTGTGGGAAGGGCCTGGGGTGAGAAGAAGTTTCATCTGGTGAGGTGGGACAAGGTGTTTAGGCCAAAAAGAAGAGGTGGTTTGGGTATTAGGAGGTCAAAATATTCAACAAGGCCCTATTGGATAAGTGGTTGAGGGAGAGGGAATCCTTATGGAGGAGGGTTGTAGTTGGAAAATATGGGATGGTGAGATTTGGGTGAGAGTCAAGGGAGGTTTCCGGCACTTACAGGGTGAGTGTTTGGAAAGAGATTATGCATTTCAATCAAGAATTCATAGCTGCAGTCAGATTCAAAGTGGGGGATGGGTCAAGGGTAAGATTTTGGGAGGATGAGTGGTGTGATGTGGGTAAGCTAATGTGAGGTTTTCCCAAAGCTGTACAGGTTGACAGAGCATCACATAAGAGTTGATGGGTGCTTCAAAACGAAGGGAGATCAGATTGTTTGGTGCCCCAAATTCATAAGACCTTTGCTGGATCAGGAATTGGAGGAATGCATTCAACTACTAGGAAAACTACAAGAGGTTGAGGTATCACCCTCCTCGAGAGATGGTATGTGGTGGAAAGAGTGCAGGAATGGGGTTTTCACTGTGAAATCATTCTACTTGGCAATGGTGGAGAATCAACTGGTTTCAGATCAAGTAGGAGTTTGGGGGAACCCTGTTCCACCTAGAGTGGAAGCTTTTGCTTGGTTGGTGACCTTGGACAGTGGTCTAACAGTTGACCACCTAAAAAGTAGGGGTTTCTCCTTAGCAAGTGTTTGTGTTTTGTGCTACTCGAATGAAGAGACTGTTTTTCATCTTTTCTTTTCTTGTAAGATTGCACAAACCATCTGGAATTTCCATTCCTCTCTTTTTGGGTAGAGAGTGTTTCAGCCAAAGTCTACAGCAGAAATATTTTCTTCCTGGCCACGTTTTGAAGGCAGCAGGAGAACAAGGATTGTTTGGAGTGGTATTACTTTTGGTGTTTGTTGGCTCCTATCAAAAGAAAGAAATAGAAGGATTTTCGAAGAAAAAGCTAAAATTCCTGAAACTCTGGCAGCTATGGTGGGAAAGTTAGTAGTAGATTGGGTCTGGGTGCTCCCAGATTTTGATCAAGTCAGTAGATCAGATTTGGGGGAGAACTTTTGGAGTGTATTGGAGATTCATCAAGTGTAATCAGTTGTCAGTTTCTGGTTCAGATAATGTATTCTAGATTAGAGCTTCTCTTTGCTTTTATTGTTTAATGAAATTTCCTTATTGTTCTTCAAAAAAAAAATAATAATCTTCTCTTCCATATAACTTTTTCTCTCAAGAACTCTTCTGTTTCCAAAAACACCAAATCACCACAGCTAGGATGGAAATCCAACTTGTAAGTAATTTAATATAAGTTTCAGAAATTGTTGTAATCCAACTATGCAGTTTTGTCCTTCAAGTCAGGCAAATTGACCACCATGTAGAAGTCCCACAGGCTTTCAAATTATATGTGGTCAGCTACATGAATCCAGCTCCACCATTCCACTCTCTTCTGTGCCAAAAGTCCCACAGGATATATCATCCTAAGAATTTAATCCCAAGCTAATGAAATCAACTTGCTGAAATATGCAAACCAACCTCTGTGGTATTTGAAAGTATGCACAATCTAACAAATTCATGCCATTATAACAAATAACCAGAATTTTTTCATTTCAGAATCCACTCAAATTCTTTGATGCACTTGCTTAATACAATAACATATATCAAAAGTGGGATGAACAAAATAAATTGTAAATGAAGTTGACTAAGCACGTGAATATATGTTAGAAACTCAAATAAGGAGACTGGAATGTGGTACCTATCTATTTTCATTTCTTTTGCTTCCATTACTTGTTTCAAAAACAATTTCACAGACTCCTCATCTGTGCCAGGGTTCCTTTTTCCCTGCAATTTAGCAAATCATTGTATGACCACAAATTGATTTTTTTTTCTTGTAACTGGTAACTTCCAATTTTATTAATTATGAAAAACAAATAATACATTACAATATGGTTGTTCAGAACACTCCAAAATATTATGGGTGCAAATGGATATTGTGGATCTGATGATAAAGATGAGAGAAACACCATGGTTGGTTAGCAATAATGCATGAACATACCAACATGAATGGTGAAGAAAATGAGGTTACCTTGGACAAATCTCACCTAAGCACTGGTCTCAACCTTATCAACCTAAATTCATGAAATATGGAATGTATGTATACAAAAATAATAAATATGAAAGTTGAGAATAATATGCTTATGTTATAGATAGCATGTAAGCCATATGCTATCTATCTATCTATCTATCTATCTATCTATCTATCTATCACTGCAAATGAAAGGTAGCATATGGATTATATATTTCTAATTACAAAAGGTAAAAACAGAACAAGGAAAAAGAAAACATTTTAAGAGGGAATGCAGCCTAAGTTTCCAGCTTCCTGGTTGGCATATTGAGACTGAAGAATCAAAATGCAACTCAATAGAATTAACACATCATTGTATTAGTGTCCTTTGTACTTTGAAAACTCTCTGTAAGACCATTCTTAAAGCTAACATTGTAGCAGACAAAATCTTACCCAGCCAAATGAAAATGGGAGGTTGTTTCCAGTTCCCAGTGGCACAGTAGCAATTGGAGGTGGCTGAGATAGTTTGAGATCGCAAACTACTCCAAGCAACCAACTAGCTGTACCATCTCCACCTGCAACCTAATCAGCTACAGAAAAGTGAAAAAGAAAAATGGGAAAAAAATAGATATCAAGCATCATAAAGCATGGCAACACCACTTCAGACCGAACTTACTATTAGTCTCAACCTTTTCTGAATTTCAGAAGCAAAACCATATCCACTGAGCTTTAGTCTTTCTAATGTGATATATATTTTGTTCAGAACCTTGTCAGGAGCTTCTTCGCTCAAATCGAAAACCTGAACATTAGAATTACCCCTAAAGTAAGCTCCACTGGAGTACTCTTACAGTTTTATCCACCTCTTAGTTCTTAAGTTTTTCTTACAGCCTAAAGAGTTAGCTGCCTTGTTGGTAAAAACCTACAGTAGAATGACAAACAATACCTGATTTCTGTTGAGAAGGCTACGATAAGATTCAAGCAGAGCCCCACCCAGCTGACCACCACTTTTGGAGTTTATGAATACCAAGACCGGACAGGCAGGGGTGTATGAGACATTCTCAACCTCTAAATCGGGTCCAAGAATGTAATTGGGGATATAGAAGTCCTTCAAGAAGTGGTTGGTTTTGCAATCACCCATAGCTATTTCCCAACTGCAATGTCACATTACAGAAGACCATCAAACTTGGAGAAGTGGAAAATCAATACAACTTCTTCCATCAATAACAAATAATTTATTTGACACAATGATAAGGAAAATACAAGCACTCACATCCAACGACATAAGAGAATACAGTGAATTAACCACAATCTATGTTAAATTGACACTTCAAAACAGACCCATAAGCATGTGAGACATGTATGGACATAGATACTGACACCACACTTGAGAGGACTCATCTCTGTCACATATAATATGTGATTAAAGAACCTCAATCCCTATGGGAAAATGTGGATAAATGATAAATTTATAATACTTGATACGTTTGGTTTGGGTTGTTTGCATTGATACATTATTTTTTCAACATTTACACGTTGTTTAAATAACATAAAAAATATATCATCAAAAAATATAGCTTGAAACTAATCTGGGTAGGTTTCAAATTTTAATGTAAACTAAAAAACACAACTAGACTAGTTTTATTCCTTTAAGGATGTTAATGAATTTCTTTGATTAAGAATTTCTCAGTTGTTGATGATTGTAATTGTAATTGGTTCTTGCAGAATTAGGGAAAAGATAGAGAAATAAGAGAGAAAAAGCAGGAATCACTTAATGTGGGCCTGAAATCACTCTAGGGTGTGCTAATCACTCATCACCCTTAGTGTAAGTCATAAGAACTCAAAGAAACTCAATTCATATTGTCTAAAAAGCTCCGTAGTATTTTTAGATTGTAGACTAATGAAAAACCTAATAAATTTAAGAAACAGATTTCTTTTTGATAAGCAAGAAACCGAAAATTATAAAGTTTTTGCATCCAACACTAATTCAAATAAAATTCAGCAACTCTTAAACTACCACACAATTACTGAAATTTTAAACATAAACCAACTATAACTAGAGTCATCAGACCCTATGGTCAACCTCTATAGAAAGATTTAAAATTTAAAATAAATAAATATAGTGTCAAATTCAGCCAAATTTCTAAGTACCAATCTTGCCATATCAAAACTTTCTCTAAGGCCTTTAACTTAAACCACTATATGCCATCAGGATAGCTCCAACAGAAACTCCAACCAAATCAAAATAGACAGGCCTCCAACACCTAAAGGACCACACTTACCCATAAACTACCCATCAAATTTGAGCGGACAGAATCCTGAAGAAGGGGGGGTCTACAAGTTGAAGAAAGTAGTCGAACAAGACTACAATCTGTTTTAAATATTGATGAGAAAAGACAAACAAAGATAAAAGAGAAGAGAAGGAGAGGAGAAGAAGAACTCGAAGATTGGGTTCAAAAAAGAAAGTTTGAAAGCTAGCAATTGCTGCCCCTCTACTTATATTTATATTTCTGTTTCTTTTATTTTACATCATGTTAATACAAAAAGGAAGCTGGGAGCCGCCAGCTTCAGTTTTTGACTCTCAAACACTTTTTTTTCTTTTCTCTTCATAACTCTCTTCTCTCCTCTCTCTCTTCTAGAAAGAAAAGATGGTATCAGAGCCACTTTTACCAAGTGGTCTAGTGTTCAATCCTCGTTACCCCCATTATAATTAAATAAGTTTCAGCACAAGGTATGGGTGTGCTTGTTCACGCTTCAAGCCCAATGGGCTTTCGTGTGAGGGGGCGTGTTAGAGAATATCAACCAATTCAAGGACCTCACCTAACAGCTTAAGCTTTTAGGTTGAATGGTTCTTCCTTCTATTCCGGATCCTACTCCTTTTTGTGTCTTCCAACGTACACACCGTAGAGATCAGCAATGTGACAAAGATGTGGAGCCACCAAACATTGAGCAACCAACACCTTCAGACTCCCAGGAGGAAAGTCCAAATGAACTAGGTACTATCCCACCTGTTGATACCCCAGCTCCCTCTTCAGTTGTGGATGACCTTGACATTCCTATTGCTCAAAGAAAGGGAGTCAGGTCATGCACTACCAAACACCTCATTACCCAGTATGTCTCCTATGACCACATTTCCCCCTCTTATCGTGTTTTCCTATCTGCAGTTGATAACATACCTATACCCAGAAATGTTGCAGAGGTTTTAAAATACCCTACATGGACAGATGCTATGAAGGAGAAGATTAATGCGCTCCATAAGAATCAGACTTGAGAGTTGGTGGATCTTCCAAGGGGGAAGGACCTAGTAGGGTGCAAGTGGGTATTTATAGTAAAACACAAGGCGGACGGGACAATTGAAAGGTACAAAGCAAGGTTGGTAGCAAAAGGGTACAATTAAGTCTATGGTGTTGACTATGATGAGACATTTGCTCCAGTAGCTAAGATGAACTCAATTCGGGTTCTTCTATCATTGGCTGCAAACCTTGATTGGGAATTACATTGGTTGGATATAAAGAATGCCTTCTTAAATGGTGACCTGGAGGAGGAGGTGTACATGGTTCAACCCCTAGGGTTCTGTGCCAAAGGGAGTGAATATAAGGTGTGCAAGCTAAGAAAGTCTCTCTATGGTCTAAAACAATCTCCCATGGCGTGGTTCAGTAAATTTCATATGGTGGTCCAGCAAGTAGGATTCAAACAATGTTAGTCTAATCACACTCTCTTTATGAAGAGATGTCAGGAACAGGTTGTTGTACTAATAGTGTATGTGGATGATATCATCATTATAGGAAACTGGAGCTCAGAAATACAAAGGCTGAAGACATTCCTATCCTCCAAATTGGAAGTGAAAGATCTGGGTCCACTAAAGTACTTTCTTGGAATTGAAGTTGCCCGCTCAAAAAGGGGCATCTTTATTTCTCAAAGGAAGTATGTCCTTGATCTGTTACAAGACATAGGCAAGTTAGGAGCAAAGCTAGCAAATACTCCTATGGATGTAGATCATAAACTAGGTGATTGTGATGGTGAACCTCTGAAATATGTGAAATAGTTTCAAAGGTTAGTGGGAAGGTTGCTCTATTTGTCCATGACACATCCAGACATTGCTTATTTAATTGGGGTCCTAAGATGGTTCATGCATTCCCCTAAGAGACCACACATGGAGGCAGCAGAGAGGATTCTTAGGTATTTGAAGAAGTACCCAAGAACAGGGTTGCTATTCAGTAAACATAATCATCTGAAGGTGGAAGTCTATATAGATGCTAATTGGGCAGGTGTTGTGGATGATAGAAAGTCCACAAGTTGATACTGCACATTTGTGGGAGGAAATCTAGTGACATGGAGAAGCAAAAAACAAAGTGTTGTTGCAAGGTCAAGTGCTGAAGCGGAGTATAGGGCTATGGCACATGGGGTTGTTGAAGTACTTTGGCTAAAGAATCTTCTAGGGGAACTTGGGATAACTATTCACAATCCTATGTCTCTTTACTGTGACAACAAGGCATCTATAAATATTGCTAGCAATCCTGTCCTACACGATAGGACCAAGCATATTGAAGTGGACAAGCACTTCATAAGAGAAAAATTGGAGAAGGGAGAAATTTGTACTCCTTATGTCAACTCTAAGGAGCAACTGGCTGATATTCTCACAAAAGGGCTTCCATACTTGCGGCATAATGAGTTGTGTGACAAGTTGGGCATGATACATATATTCAGCCCAACTTGAGGGAGAGTGTTGTTAGAATTAGTTTTTTTATTTCTGTTGTTAGGGTGTTGTCAATCTAGGATGCTGTCGGTATGTTCTTTTCTTTGTTTAAGTTCTAATTATTAGGGTGGGCCACTAGGGGCATGCTTGTAATTTCAGTTTCTTTTATTTTACATCATGTTAATACAAATAGGAAGCTGGGAGCCACCAGCTTCAGTTTTTGACTCTCAAACACTTTTTTCTTCTCTTCTCTTCATAACTCTCTTCTCTCTTCTCTCCTCTCTCTCCTCTCTCTTCTGGAAAGAAAAGAAGAACTTTCCTAGGGTTGGAAGTTTCAGCAAAACAAGACCATCGGCTGATTCTTGGAGGTTCTGGCAGTGTGCGGCTGCTACTCAAGGGACCATAGAGCCTTGGAGAGTGTCCAACAATTAGGAAGAATCAGAAGAAGGGAAAAATCTTCAAGATTAGGGTTCAGACTTGGTTTTGAAGGTGGCGGCCAGAATTTTCTGAAGTTGATTCTTTTTTGAGATCAATTTAAAAAAAAAAAAGAAAAAAATAAACTTTTTTGGTTAATCTGAGAGGTGCAGCTAGAAGATCTTTTTCTCCTAAAGTTTTTCACTGTCGCCAATTCTAGGGCAGCAGTTGAACCAGTTACAGCATTCCAGACCAGCAGAGCTGGTCTTTTGGAAAACAGCAGAGCTGTCCTAATATTTTTGGGTAGGTGCCGAACCTATTTCACCCTTTTAGGTCGGCTGTTAACAAATTCTGGGTGTAATTACCTTGTCTCAGTGCTAAAAGGAGTATTTTTTTTACCAATATCTCGACAAGAATGGAGTTTAAGAATCAAGGGGAAGGTGCTTTGAGGACTGGTGGTTCTGGTAACATGTCTGAGAATACATTTAAGGTTACAACTGTCAAGTTTGACAGATCAAATTACTTGGAATGGGCTCAATCAGCCATGATGGCCATTGGGGGTAGAGGAAAACTGAACTATTTGTTGGGGGATGTGAAGGAACCAACTAAGGAGGACCCAACCTATGCCAAATGGGTTCAGGAGAACTATTTGGTTATGACATGGCTGTGCAACTCCATACAGCCCCACATCAGTCGAAATTACTTGTGGGCAAAAACAGCTAAGGAAATTTGGGACATCATGAAAGAAACCTATTCCTAACCTCTTAATGTTGCTAGGGCCTATGAGATAAAACGTGAAGTAAACAACTTTAAGCAAGGAGAGAAACTAGTCTTAGTTTACTTCTCAACCTTGAAATCCCTATGGCATGAAATTGATCACCTAGAGACAATTAAATGGGAAAGTCAAAATGATGCACAAACTTATAGGAAGCAGGTTGAAACTAATAGGGTGTTTGAATTCTTAGCTGGTTTGAATTCTGAATATTATATTGTGAGACAACAACTTCTCATGAGAGAAAGTGTGACCTTATCACAAGCCTATTC